AAAATTCTTACTGTAATATTTATATAATTAGAGGGATTCAGTGATTTTAAGATAATTATTATTGTAAAAATTACGGTATAATAGATTTTTTGTTCCGTAACATTTTGCGATAAAAATGGAATTTACAAGTGGGACATGTGATGAGTGGATAGGTCAGGAGCTTTGATATGGTACTCCAGACAAAGGAAGGAGTTAAAAAATTTTTGAAGACAGTGTGACATCACTTAGGTGTCCACACATCGAACGCAACAGCAATACGAAACACGATTTTTCTCCTCTGTTGCAAGTGATTGCAAGTTTGCAAGTACCTTCACACCGCATGCGACAACAAACCTGTTTCCTCACACTTTTCTTCTGTATCTAGTTTTTGTTGCATAGCTCGTTTTATCGCTATTTTTTGTATTTATTAAATTATTTTGTATATATGTATTATTTTTTATATTTATATTTCTTTTTGATTTCAGTACAAGATTCTTTATAAATTGCCGAAATAAACTTTGCGTCACATTTTTACGAACATCGTATCAATAATTTATACAAAATTATTTACTTATTTTTCTAAATTTTTATCTTATAATTTTGTCGACTGATTTTTAATTAACTAATCCTTTTATGGGAAAAAAAAGAATTTTTTTTGTATTATTTTTTCCAGCTATAACACGTATTTTTATTTTGTTAAATAAATAAATTGCTGAAATATTAAATAATTCAAATAAAAAAAGTTAGGAAAAATGAAAAACAGAAATTATTTTATTATCAGAAGTCTTGTTAGGAAAAATATTTTTTTTCAGAACATTGTTGTGAACAATATTTAGAATATTACAATTATATCAAGTTTGCAACTTAACATTTAATATAGAAGTGATAAAAAGGATTTTCTTTCCATATGCAAATGCTTCAATGCTATGCAAATGCATATAGTTTTTTTTTACATTCGCAAGTGGATAGAGATTTATGAGATCAATATTTCACTCAGCGGAATTTCCAAGTGGAGTCACTTACACAACACTTTAAAATGAACCCCTTTTATTATTTAGTGACCCTTTATAATATGACCATGAGCAGGGGTCTGTCTAGGTTTTTCTGAGAGGTACCTATTTTGTGAAAATTTAGACATAATTTGTGAAAAATTAAAAATTATACTAAAAAATCAACACAAAAATATGGATTTATCGTTTCTTAAGGGATACAAAAATAAAAATTTAAGAGAAAGTATTTTGTGAAACTACCGTTTTTCCTAAAATTGAATTTGTGAAATTACCGTTTTTCCTAAAGTTGAATTTGTGAAGGTACCGCTAAACGGTAGTAAATTCGGCCTGGACAGACCCCTGATGAGATACTACTTTATGAGAAGTACAAGAATGTGTTGGTGTTTTTCTTTTTTCATTTATGTTTTACTTTCGCATAAAATTACATTTTCCAAAATTTGTAAAAATAAAAATAATATAAAGGATTACATCACGTTTTAAATATGCTAAATTTCTTTTTCCTGCTAAATGATACTGTCGCATTAAGCCAGTCTGACAGAACCACTAGTAGATATATTTTATAACACTCCAAATAAAAATTCGTGATAGATATAGCATAACAGAGAAATATAATGAAAACTTTATTAGTAATTTCTTTTCTTGAATCTGGTCCATTCACTTAATTGGCGAAAAATTCCAAATATGTTCCTTATCTTCCTTGATTTTTTAAACTCCCGTAAGTTTCTCAGAGCAGTAAAATCAAATTATAATTTTTGTTTCTATGAAAATATTTAAGCAGGAAAAAAGGCGTTTTTTTTTTTTCATTATTTCTATACATACTCAATTTTATCCGATAATGATGAAGAATATCGACCTTTAGCATACCTCCATAGAATAACTAATTTACACTAAAAAAAATACAGCTTTTTTTGTTCTTTAAAGATGTTTTATTTTTTAAGCTAAAGATAGATCTGACTTCATGCAAATAAAAATTTAAGCTATTCTGTTTATGAAGTTGATTATGAAAAGAAAATTTAAGGACCCAGTTTTGTGCACCATCGCTGTATTTATAAAATTTTATATAATCAAAACTTCGTACGAAATTTTCTAAATCATTTCATTCAAGATTTCAGTTTTTGTAATAATTGCCCATTGATGGTCCATTCATTAACCAAGAGTAGAATTGAATTGAAAATAATTTTTGTTACAATTAATAAAAGTTTCAACCAATTAAAAATGTTTGCCTTTTTCTCTTTAGCGTTTGTTTTGCATTTCTTTATTAAACATAATTTTTCGAAAATCTTTTCTGATAAAACAAACGTTCTAATTTTTAATAATAAATACTTTTTAATAGCAAATAAAAAATAAAATTTGCTCTTCTAGAAAAAATATATAATTAAAAATAATTAAATAAAAAATAATTAATTAAAAATTACTGCTTTCTAATCTTTTAGCAACGCTAAAGACTTTTCCTTGTTTCGCTGAACATTTTATTTTTATTTCTTAATGATTCAAGAGTAATGCTTTATTTTTTTATTCTTGGTTTAGTAAAATCACTTTAAAGTTATCTTAACCAGTATAAAAAGAATTAATTTAAACAGCTTGATATTTATTTGAATGTCAAGTTATGTTCTAGCAAAATTCATAAATGATTCTCTGTCTAATTGTATATTAATAGTTATTTTACTACCACTCGAGAATATCTGCAATGAAGAGCAAAAAAAAGCAAACATATGTGTATTTAAATATATATTCTGTTCACTTGTGCATAAACAATTAAAAATGTGTAAAATAAACTAATTGAAGAAAAGATATATGCTATTAGTTTTTCGCAATTAATTCAAAATACTTTTAGAGAATTAAATAAGGAAAAGTTTCTATTGAATGCCTTTTTCATAATTAACAAACAGCGCTAAAATAGCTTAAACCTAAGTGAGATTAGCAGATTAATCCCACTTTAGAATTTTAAAAATTTATCGTAGGATCTATGAAATTAGAAACACTGTTTCTAAATCAAGACCTACGTATAAATATATTTATATTTATATATTTTTAATCAATATTTTTTAAAATTTAAATTATTTTATATATATTTAATAAAAATTTCAACTAAGAGTTATGAAAATAAAAACATTTAAACTATATTTTTGTAATAAAAATGTCTTTTAATGTACGACAAAAAAATCTTTCAAATACGTACATTCAAATATTTTATATAAACATAAGTTACTATGTTCTGAATAATGTTAACATTAAAATCATACGTGATTTCATCGTATTTTCCCTTTGAGATTAGAAATATATATGAATCAGATAGAATCTCTGAGTCTGCAACAGCGACGAAAATTGAATCCCATCCAATTCTTGAAACCAGTGCGACGGCGATCGCTGGTTGTTGCAACAGAGGGAGGATGAAAGAAGTGCGCATGCGTAAAGTCATTGCAACATGCGATTTGTTGCTGTTGCAGCCGCCGGTATGAAGACTCCTTACCCGACATTTATGTTTAATAACATAATTATACGAGGGTAATTAAATATCTTTTACGGAAAATAATTTGTATACAAAGTCATTTGAAGTCGGGTGATAAGATCTTGTAGTACTTTATGTACTTTTAATTGTAAATATAATTTTATAGTATACAATTACATAATATATAATAATCGTTTCTTATTAGAATATATCAACTTACAATAGTCTCCCGAGGGGTTAATATTTTAATAAGTTGCAAATATTAACAATAATAATAAAGCATCCAGTTTTAAAAAATGTGATTTTTAAAAAAAATAGCAATATTAGACAAAGGAAGTATTCCTTGAATATTATAACATAGCTATGCCATAAGTATAATTATTAAAATTATGAACAATTTTAGAATTGCTTAAAAGTTCTAATCATTTTGCTAAATAGCACACATGTGCTTCAATCCAAAGATTTTTTATCTTTTTTTCTCATTCCCTTCTTTACCGGGAAAAAGGCTACATTCTACTTCAATTCAGAGATTTTCTTTCTTTCTTTTTTTCCATTCTTTTTCTAACTGGAGAAAAGGCTACATTTGACTGACGAGAGTGTGCTAGGCATAAATAGTCAATTTATTTTTTAAAGCATAGATACTGAAACTTTTTTGATTTATATTCATTTTCAAAACATCCAGTTAATAACCCATAGTTTATAAATCAATTTTTTTTAAAAAAAATATCCACAAAATTATGAAAACGATATTAAATTATATAAAAGGGCATTAGTATTTGCAATCCAACATTCCAATGTGATACCTGCAAGTGGACGCAGTGTGGGTATCTCAATCCTGAGTGGTTGTTGAAACGTGGCATTTGTTTACGTTAGCAACTGTTCCTTCCATTCTATTTTAAGTAAGCCAAGAATCCATTCTCTTACGTGACACATTCTCTATTCTTTCACGGAGATTTCAATTCTCTCACTTTATATTTATTTTGTAGACATATTTTACATACAGCAAATGGAACATTTTAAGCTTCTTAACTCTTAGTCTATCTCGATTTATTATTTACATACATCCCATTCTCATTATTTATTTGTGAAAAGCCTTCATTGTCACTTATTTCTTTTGAAAAAAATTCATGCAGTTATTAAGAAACTTTAAAAAAATAAATTAAAAAAAACTATTTTTAACTGTGCCAACCTTAATAGAACTACTATGAATCACAGTAAGAGTATAAATACAGGGTATCTGCTACATTTTAAATTTCTAAATTCATGACTTTCCATAACTAATTCCAAGAATTTTTCATGACTTAACAAAGTTACTATTTAAGACAAAACACAACAATAAATTTAAAAAAGCATTATAATAATATTCATTGAAATGATAGGTATAACCAAAACTGTTACTCTGATCTTCATATTTATAGATTTTAAATTTAAAAAACAGAGTAAAGAATGAGTTGAGGCAATAAAATAGCTGAAAAAATACAAAAGCAAATAATTTTTCCTGCAGAATTACATTCTAAAGATACTTTTCTTGTTCATCAGAAGGGAAAGAAATACTCCTGATTTTTCTGTTCTCATTTTGGAATAAAAAAATCGTCCAATGGCTGGTTTGCATCAGCTAAAATTTTAAATTGATAAAGTAAAAAAAATAAATCATAACGAAAATTCTGAAATCACAGAAGTTTAAAAGATAATTCCCTCTAGAAATGTTATTTTCTTTGATTTTTTTGAAAGAACACCATAATTTTTAAGAACACAATAAAAACATTTTATATCTTAATCAAATATAACTGTGAGTGGGGATTTTGTTACAAATTCAGATATTCGGAACACTATAGAATTGGGGAGAAGGAATAGATTCCAGTTTAAAAAATTAGATTTTTCGGTGACCTAAATACATGACTTTTTTTTAAAAAAAATAGTTAAAATCATGACTAATCTTGTTCAATATCGAAATTCATGACTTTCAAGGTGTGCGGATACCCTGTAGATATAATATACACTATTTAATTGTTAATATTTTTAAAAAAATTAAGAATTAAAGACGAAAATGTTTAAGATTTTTGCTAATTGCATAAAATTAAAATAATTTAACTCCCCTATCACTTATGATTTTTAAAAAAAGTGTAGGATTCTTTCAGAAAAGTGCATTCTCTAAAACTTGTACTTTTCTTTATCTCAATCAGAAAAATTCAACAATTGTTTTTTTTTTTTGGAAATATCAATTTTCATTTGTGTTCAACAGATTACTTCTTGGGACCTGCGAACAGAGAAGTACACAAAAATAAGTAAATATGAATACTCAAATGAAATTTATGGTCATAAAAAGTTGAGAATTATCAATAACAATATTTGAGCCGAGGATAATTGTCATTGAGAAACTAAACTAGGAATACTAAAGTGCTATTGCATTACTCAATAAAACTAGTACAATGTAATTAAAATTAAACTACTTTTCTTTTTAAAACATTTTAAAATAAATAAAAAGGAGTAGTTTAAAGGACAATACACTTACTGAGAAGATTTGATCAGACAAAGCTAAATACTAATATCCAACATCTTTAAGGAAGAATAGAAGACTCCTATAACCTTTCACAAGAACAGTGAGAGTAGAACATGACAGCCAAAATCTCTTTAATATATATTGTGATTGAATTTTGCAACACAAACCACACTACATATTAATATGTTTAGCCTAATTCTTTCCAAGACTCTGTCAGATCACTTTGAGAAACAGGACGCAATAGGACACAAATATCTTATTTGATAGACTAACTGAAAATATGTACAATATTAAAAGAAAATCTTAAAATACAAAATTAAGGCACTTAGTAACTCAACCCATACAGGGGATAAAGCTTGCAAAAAAAAAAAGAGATAATCCATCCTTTTTTTTTTTTTTTTAAATCTTTTCATAAGAAAAAAAAGAAATAACTACATCTACTTGCTTTGATGAAAATCTCATTTAAAATACATTCACCTACAATACTATCCTGCATTTAATTCTTTGAATATAGAAAAAAAATTTACATGATGCTAAGCAATTGAGTCAGTTACAAATTAATATTATTTTCGGGTTTCAATTTTGGAGTGATTAATTTAAATAACATCTATTGAAATTAAACGTTAATAATTAGGGTTTACATATTAAACCAAAGCACGTGGATAGTAATGAGAAAATAATAAAAAATATATATACTAACTTATTTCTCGAAACCAACTACATGAAACGTTTAATTTTTAGGAAAAGTAGCAATTATAAATTATATTATTGAGTAGAACGATAAAAGAAACTCTAGCAATGGCAAATCAATTCAGTCGTTGTAATGGCGGAGCTTGTGAGCATCATTCGCTTTCTCCCCCTCACGCATGGTTACTTATCGACTACCTAACTGCAAATAATTCTCCGTTGCATTTCAGGAACTTAACGTGGATAATTTTTTCTCCAAAACTTCTCTTGTAAAACCTGTAACTTCGCGCTTTCAAACGGAGTTTGCTAAAAGGCTGCGATCTTCATATTTTCTCCCTAACAATTTGCTGGCGAAAGCGGTTCGAATAAGATGCATGTAACGCTGAGATTAAATTAGATTTCCGATTTCAAAGATAATTTCTACCAAGATATTTTATGATTTTTTATAATCATCTAGATATTTTATGAATATATTTTATCTGGATATTTTATGAATATATTCCAGACGTAATTTTTCCTCTCACAAATTTATTATTTCATATAATAAATAGATTAAATAATTAGTTTCTTGCAGAACTTATAATAAAATCTATAATAATCTGGCACAGCTTTAAATAAAACGTGAAAATTTTTTTGTTCCAAATTTTTGTGTATTCTTAGCCATAATATGTTTAGTATAATTATTGCCGTGTTTTTATTTTAACTAGGGTAAAGCAACCAGTGAAGGAACATTTCATATATATTGATTAAAAATAAGAGTTTTAAAGTTTTTCTTTAGATTGATTGGCAACAATAGCTTACTGCCAAACTATAGGAAGTCATCTAGCAATGTTTTGGATTACCTGGTCAATTATACTTCTCTGGAAAAAATTTTGAATTCGTTATTATCTCTGGAACACATTGTTTACTTGAAAAAATTATAAGGTGAGTGTTTGTAGTTATATGTTTGAAGTGGAATTAATTGCATGTAATAGTTTTATTTTTCTCACTGTGAAAAAGAGAATTCAAAATATAATTATTGAAGTTACGTTTTACTTTTTTAAGCATCATCATAGCATAACAAAGTACTGAGATAAGGGGGTGTTTATTCACTGGATCACCAAACGAGGAAGAGCCAGTGAAGGAACAAGTGTTCCTTTACTGGATTTTTTTCTAAGTTAATGAAAATAAAAGATAAACTTTAATTTTCTTGTACCTTTAGTGATGTTCCGCATCAAAAGTATGTTAAAAATACGGAAAATGACTTCTAACCAGTGAGGGAACAGGCATGTTCCTTTACTTGGCATACATTTCCCAGTGAATGAGCAGTATGTGTTAATATGCTGACACTTTAATTTTCAATTCATGATTACAAACAAGAGTTAACATTTTCCAAGTATTTATATGTTATAATTTCAAGAATAGCCTGGTTTTTAAATATTTGTATGGCTTATAAAATCATAAGGAGCATTAAAAAATAACCAAAATTAAGTGCTCCTTCACTGGGAAATTTTGTGTTCCTTCACTAGTAAGAGCTGTTCCTTCACTTGGTCTTCTTACTACTTGTTATTTGAACCTCCAAAACTTTAAAACAATATTATGTAAATTCTCTACAGTTTTTTTACATAATTTACAATTAGTAACAAGTATGTTGACACTGTCATTTAACTAAAATTACGAATTTTGAAATTAATAGGATTTTTTAAAAAGTAAGCGAAGCTTAAGTGTTCCATTTACTGGTTAGTTTACCCTACCTTGTAATATTTTCAAAATATTTGGAGAAAAAAATGTATCTTGGTTTAATGAAAAACTCGTTTTTTAGTAAAATTTTGCAATTTTTTTCTTTAGAAAAATTGGTGAGTTATAACTGAGATTAGTGCATAAAATCGTATATAATATAAATAAGAATTACCATAAATTGTATACTTGTTTTTCATACGCTGCACAATTTTCTGCTAGAGAGTTGAAAGAATGGAAGCTTTTGTAATATCATCTAAGTTATTCTAAGGATATTCATTTATTATTATATATTATACTAGCGCTATTTGTTTTTATTCAAATAATACTTCAGATTATCTTAATGCATGCGATTAATTCCACTTCAAAACGTTTATAACGAATTTATGCGACGTGTAAAAAAAGAGAATTTCTTTTGAATTACTTTTGCATAATTCATTTGCATACAGAATGGTAAATCAAAAGAAAAAATATCTTGCGTTAATAAGAAAAACAATTGAAAGAGTTTTGTTATTAAAAATGTATGCAATGAAAACTATTTGATATTTGCATCATGTTAAACTACGATAACACGAATTTGGAATAAAATAAAATTACGAATAATCCTTCTGGCTAGACCGACTGCAATGAAATTGTGTTACTAAAAGTTCTAACTCCAAAAAGTTCGAAAAAAGCTCTTACGTTCTTAGTGTAACTAAAGTTCTTGGCACCCTTATCTTCTGAGTTGGATTCAATATAACAGCGTAATAAAAAAAAAACAGAATGTAAGGAAAGGAAACTTTTTCAATAAAATTGTTTGTGAATTATTATAAAGTTGCTGATAAATTTAGATGTATAATTAAAAAACCTTTTTTTATTATTTATTTCCTTAATTTTTCTACCCCCTTAATTTTCCCGTTCTAAATATTTCAGGAAAAAATTATTTATACATATTTCTAGTCTTATAACTGTAATATCGAAATATACTGGAGAATTTGTTTTTTGAAAATTATGTCATACTTCAAGAATAAAATTTGTTAAAATGAACATTAAAATATTTCTAAAATCACGTTGTTTTAATAATTTTGTTAGAAATTGCACTTATTGAAAATACTTATACTTTTGAAAATACTTATTATTAGTATTACAAATTTTAGGGAGAAAAAAAAATCAGGCATAGTTTTTTTCTGTTTTTTTATTTTTTTCTTAAAAATTAGCTAATTATTAATAAAAACTAAGTATTTTGAAATATTAACTAAAATATTCTGTTTTATTCATTTGTCATTATTAAACTAGTATTTTTTTTTTTTTTTTGGTTTTAATAAAATAATTTTTCAAGTTATCTTGATTGATGCAATTAATTCTAATTCAAAAAGTCTTTTACAAATTTATGTGGCACTTAAAACAAATATTTTTCCGAATGACTTTTTCATAATTTATTTACATACACATTGGTAAATGATAATGCAAAAAATGAAATCCAGCTTCAAATATTAAAACAATTGAAGATATTTTGAAATTGAAAATATTAAAAATATTTGTAACGAGTTAAACTTCAAACAGGAATTTGTGATATAAAAGAAAATCACAATGGCTAGAACGACAACAAGTGAAATTGTGTAACTAAAAACTCTAGCATGAAATTCTGAAATAAAGTACGACTACTTGGCATCCTTGTCTTCTGAGTCGGGTTTAATGTAAAAGGGTCATAAAGGACAAAAAATTAATTGCTGAGTAATTCTTTTCCAAATCTAGTTCAATACAACACAACGATAGCACAGACAGCTTCAATTGGTATTTTCTAAAGTCAATTTCGGTAATTTTCATCTTCCCTTATCGTATCGATCAGGGAGAAACCTTGGAAAAAATTAATGAATGAGGGGAGGGTAGTGTCTCACCCAACAAACTAACCCGGAGTTGTGCTATCGGATTTCCTTTTATTACGATCCTCACAACATTTTTCAAAAGGCAAAAAGTATCAAAATTTGTATGATGTTAAAAATTACCAGAGAGTTTTCTCGAAACCTCATTGACTTTTATCGATCCGGCCTAGGAAATTACCACAATAGAAAAAGGCCGTGAGTAACGAGGGTGATACATCAATGATTAAAAATAAAGCCTTGATAAAAATTTATATTTTTTAACTTAATTAACATTAAAAATAAATGACAGCATTACGGTTTTCTTAAGACTAGAGTTTAAGTGCAGGACAAGGATTATGAAAATCCGCTCACATCGAGTGGAGAGCGACTAGCAACTGAGAAACCAATTAGGAACAAGCAAAGTTTAAAACTTAGATCAATAGAAGACCGAACCAAAAGGTGGGTTAGTCATTTTAATAAAACCTTAAACTGTTTTGAAAGATGTTTCAAGAGAAGTAGCCAGACAACTAAACATAATACAAGCCCAATGACACAACTTGAGGTACAGCAAGCAATTATATTGCTTAAATGTGCGAAAGCTGTTGGCAGCGATAATCATTGATGTGATATCAATGGTGAAATATTCAAAGAAATGGTGAAATATTCAAAGAAAGTTTAAAAACTTTAATCAAAACTTTAATTGGCCGGTAAGACATTGCAAGCTTGATATGATGTCATCCCCCCCCCATAAAAAGCGCCCTTTTTTACACAAATATAGCCGAGTAACGAATAGCATTCAAAACATGGCAAACTTTACACTTAATTTACGCAGTGATATTAATTTTCTTAAATTTGTTTTAGACTCGCAACCTTGTTAGAATTTATAAATTGATGAAAACTCTTATAAACGGTAAAACTACGCGTAAAATTAAATACAAATCACAATAATAAAGCTTCCTGTTATATTAAGCCTGTAAACACATCGCCTCACAAACATAACATAATTTTCTAAATTTCTTTCGGTTTCAGGAAGCTTGTTATTGTTTATAATATACTTTATGCTTGTTATTGTTTATTATATACTTTATGCTTGTTATTGTTTATAATATACTTTCTGCTTGTTATTGTTTATAATATACATAAGCTTATATAATTTTGAATGCTGAAGTAGAAAGATATCTGTAAGCAAACATAAGAATTTTTTTAAAAAAAAAGGAAAATTAGAGAAGGAGTATTTTTTATTGTTTTTGTGTTCTACTNATAACTCTAGCATGAAATTCTTAAATAAAGTACGACTACTTGGCATCCTTGTCTTCTGAGTTGGGTTTAATGTAAAAGGGTCATAAAGGACAAAAATTAATTGCTGAGTAATTCTTTTCCAAATCTAGTTCAATACAACACAACGATAGCACAGACAGCTTCAATTGGTAAAATGTTGAAAGCAGAAGTTCTTTATAGAATAGTCATAGATTGGCTCCATTGAGCGTTTGTCTTTCTCGAGGAGCAGACATATGGACTCTAATATAGGTGAATACTTCACATGTGGCAGACTGCGCATTTTAAGCTCAAACGAGCGAATTTTTTTGCCGGCGCGAATTCTAACTTTATTTACTGCGTATCAAAAAATTGCTCACATGCAACGTCATTGTAAATAATGGTGAAATTATTAAATGTATAAAATGGCTACTGCTTTTTTGAGTTATTTGTAAAAAAATTTCACCCCAAAATGGCAACTAAAAAACGTAAAGTTGATAGTGCCATGCGTTCAATGATGAATTGACTTCATTTTATTTCAGAAGTTAGAAGTTTTATTTTAGAAGTTTTACTCGGCCCACCAAACTTTTTTTTTCTCGATTTTTGGCCCCCGATCAAAAAAAGTTTGTCACCCCTGCCCTAAAGAGATCAAGATAGCACTTTCAAGAAGTTTTGCTTGGAAGTAAAAATATTCAACGATCGGGAAATGGGCAAATTGGACAATAATGAATATAAATAAATTTGTGAAGGGCCCAATTGAAAGATAAATTATTTTGTGAAGTGTCCGTTTTTATGAAAAGATAATCTGTGAGGGGTCCGCTAACGGACCCAAACTTCTTCTAAACAGACCCCCTTAACGGAATGTTTAAGTCTATTCTTTAGTATTTCAGTAAGCATTGCAGCGTTCCGAACAATTCCACGTTCAGAATGAAATAACAAA